AAAACAAATAAATTAGTACCAGTCATTAGGTGTAGAAATCATGAAAAAAGGGAGAAAATGTCCATGTTAACTCTGTACTAACAAAAAATTTTTGACTGAAACCTGAATAAAGTGCATCTCTGATTGAGAACCTGTATTTGCATAATCAGGCTATCAATCTAGAAAAAGACATGATCTTAATATAAAAAGAAGAGAATTATAAATTTTGATCTCTGGATAGAAAACTCTACAAAACTAAAACCAAATTTAAGAAATGCTAGCTACATCCTTAGTACTTCTGATATTTTTTTTTAATCTGTGGTCACAAAACTAATTTTTTCCCCATATTTACTATGCCCCACTTGAGTTTGATAAAGAGTTCACGCTTACTGCATTTTCAGTAAGATATTTTTCGATATAGCTAGTTCTCAACAGAATTTAAAAAGCTATTAACAGTAATTTTGATGTTTAGATGCTCATTAACTTTACTCTTACGATTTAATACCTGCAAAAATTAAGTGTTGCTGGAATTACTTTGAAATCAAAGATTTTCCATGTTGTTTTGTTCACAAACAAACAAAAAGCTAGGCAGTATTTAGCTATCACCCTTTGTGAACCTAACTTCCACATGTCCCTTGATTTAATTGATTGCTTTTACTATTATAATGAAAGAGTCTTAAGTTTCATGAAAGCAGGGACCATATCTACTTTAACCATCTTTTTAGGCAAAGGAACAAATAGTTATAAGACTTACAAAATTCTACTTAACTATATATAAATTGCAATATTCATTTATTGAAAAGTCACTGCTGTGTCTCTCTGGGGTAACATTAGTTCTCATCACACAAAACAAAACAAGAATAATCTTTATTAAACTGGCCTAAAATAGAAAATGAGGTGTTTTCTTTTTATATAGTTTGTCTATGACTATATACATATATCTTGTGTACTATAACTATGAATATACTTTGATTTAGTCATATTACCAATATAAAAACCTTCACTTTATCTTCATATTTTTACTATTTTCAAAATATTCTGGGAAGGAAACCAAGCTTGAATATTTTATCTCTCTGAAGTTTAAAATGAAAGCAGTTCTTTAACAGATTATATTTAATATGCATATATTCATTACATATTATATACATTGTATATATATATATATATGTTGAAAAGCCTTTATATGAAATATTCACCTATACCTGAAATTATTATAGATTTAGTAATTTTTTTTTTACATTCTCTGACTGCAATTTAAATATTTGCCAAAGAAAACCTACAAAGTAAATCCAATATTGTTTTAAATATATCTACAAATTTATTGCCCATATCTCACTGGCTAAAAAGCAGCTATATCATTTAATGTTAAGGGCTTAGCTCTCTAGCATATGCTTTGGTCTATCTTTCAGTTTGATACTTATTCTCTGTGTCTTTTAAAACTCTACTAGAAAACTTGCAATATCAATATTGGGCTAACTCAAAAGTTTTTAAAAGAAACGAATTAAAATATAAATCTAGAGTTTACCATAGTCTTTGACAAGGATATGTACTAAAAAAATATTTACTATTATCATTATCTGGCAGTTGCAGATTATCAAATTAATTAGAATTTCAATATTCACTTTAGTTTTATAGCTATTATACATCCAAATTTTACATCCAGCCCACAATTACTTTGGTTTTTTTTTTGGGGGGGGGTAGCCAGTATGAGATGATTAGGTGATTTACTGAACTATTAAGCAGAAAATGAGATTCATTATTAGTTTACAAACTTTCAAATCACTATATTTAAACTACTAAGATAACTCATAGTTTGTTTATTAACATGCTGATGGATATCAAAAGGATAAATCCCAAACAATAACCTCAGACTTCTTCCCTTATTATGCATGAGGTTCATAGTTTTAACTGAAGTTTTCCTCGTTTTAGTTTCTGCTGCTTTTCTTCTTTTTCTCTTTTATTTCTGTTTTTTTTTATATAGAAATTAAACAATCACTTTGATGTTTGATGTTCAGGAAAAATTGTAGTTAATAATTTTGTTATGAATTATATAATTTCTACAATACTATTTTCTTAAATGACTTAAATTTTATTTCCATAATTATTTTAGTTTTATTACCAATACTATTACTAATTCCAAAAGCTTTTCCAGTTTTACTTCATCATTTTAAACAAAAAAGGCTGAAATGTGATGTACAGTTCTAATAGAATGAGGGTTTATTCTATATAGACTATAAGGGAAGGCCAACCTTCATATCCTACTACATTCTAGGCATTTCAAACTCCAGAATGTTTTACCAGTCATGATCCTGCTTATTTTTCTTTTGAATTCCATTACTACATTTTTTTTTCTTATTCTGTACTTGCATTGTTGTTTATGCTACCAAATTAAGCTTACATTATCTCTGTAACTTGGGTGATTCGACTGCTTACGAGTGAATTTGCTGAATTCTACCACTTCTTCACATTTGATTGTCTTGGTGTTGATTCCTCCATACACATTATCTTCAAGGATTTCTGACAGAGTGTGTCTTGTGGAAGATGGCAAGATGACTTCTAATGTGCATTCAATTAGATGACCACTGTCATGTACTGAGAGTTGACATTGCGCCAAACATATTGTGCTATTGTCTCGTTTAACCCTTACAGGAGGGACATGGATATTATTATCCCCATTATTCAGATGAAGGAAATGAGACTCAAAATTATGCAGGTAGGGAGTACAAAAGTGGCCTTGGAGATAAGCTTAGTCGTGACACAAGCCATGGTTCTGCCACCAAAGGACACTTCTGCCTCCTTCCTCTCTGCTCTCGCTAGCTGCCTTCTCACTCCTTCTCTTTTCACTTTCATGCCCTTATAACTTCCCTTTCACCTTTTCCCTAAGTTGTTCTAGGGATAGGAGACTCAAAGATGAGTTGGGCAATGATCTTGTATTCAAGTAAATCTTAGATTCTACTTTAGTTGATCAGGGTCACAAAGCAAGTTGAGAGTTACTATTTCTAAATGAAACAATGAATGAAAGGAACAGTATCCTATTTAACAGAGTATTTTCCCCCCTCTCATTCAGCTAGCTAATAAGGCACTTGTAGACAGCAGTGACAGACTAGGAGAGCTGTGTCTGAGATGGTGGTCTCTGGTGACTTCCTGGCTGTGGCGTGCTCGGTGCCTGGGAAAGTTTCTCTGAAGATGTGCAGAATGCCTAGCTGCTGATCCCTTTTTAACTTTATATTCTGAAATGATCCTTATGAAATTTCTGAATTATTTCCAATTACTGCTCTTAATAAGATGAAATACTTTATGCTGTTTACAGTATTGTAATTGAAATTTGTTGGATCCTTTACATGTAGAATTATACCTGTTAGAATATTTTAACTCTTAGTAACCTTGTTTTAGTGAAAAACCCAGAAACAAAGCAATCTTAAACTTCTTTCTTAATTTATCCATTTAAGAAAACATATTTATGAAGATTAATCCCATTTATGTTAAATTTAATTTACTCATTTTAATTGTAAGATAAAATATCAGAAAGATGTAGTTAACAGTATTATCCATGTCTTTACTGTTGAAGAAAAATCCTAGAAGCAAAGGATAATTACATTACATTTCAGAGATTTTTAGAAATCAGCACTACTAATTGTCTGACCACAAACAAAAAATATGTAAGTTAGAATTTTAAAGACATCTATATTTTTATCTGATTATTGGTTTGAATTAAATTATTTGGATCCATTTCCTTAATTAAATTTTAATTGATGAGTGCTCATTTGCCTAAATGCCAATTTTGAAACCAAGTACATAATATATAGACATAGGAAAGATCTGTACAATTGGAAATACCAGCTATAAAATCCAACAGTCATGATGGACACTGAAATCAAAGGTTTCAGATAGTCATCTATTTGTCCTTGATGGTTATTAGACTCATTTCCAATATCACCATGTCTATATCCTCCTAAGGATTTATTAAAAGGAATTTTTTAATGTATTTGAGAGCTAATCCTGGAAAAATTTACCTCTGAACAAAGACAGAAAACATTTATAGTTAGATAAAACTGCTCAGGAAATATATTAACTTACATAGACTATTAAAAACAAAACTTAAACGGCCTCAATACTAACATCTTTATCAGGTCAGATTGTAATTTTAGCTCAGAGTAAGAGTTTGTTCAGATATCTAAATAATGTTGAAATAAGGAAGTTTGGGCTGGGGATGTGGCTCAAGCGGTAGCACGCTCGCCTAGTGTGCGTGCGGCCCGGGTTCGATCCCCAGCACCACAAACAAACGAAGATGTTGTGTCCGCCGAGAACTAAGAAAAAATAAATAAATGTTAAAAATTCTCTCTCTCTCTCTGTCCCCCTCTCTCTCTTAAAAAAAAAAAAGAAATAAGGAAGTTTGTACATTTGGAATCTTTCTACTTTTGTCTTTCTGTGGTGTAGCATTAGGGAGGAACTGGTAAAGAAAGCTGTCTGAAAGCAATAAGACAGCCAGCCACGCAGTTTGGATTTAAAAGGGTCACTTTTTTTTCCCTTTTGTGTTAACTAGTTTTTCATAAGTCTTACAAATCTTGCAAGCCCTATAATTTGTATTTTAAATATAAGGCTAAGAGAGCTAGAGATCCAACAGAAACTAAGAAGTAATGAAAACTGCTATAACCATTTTTTATTTAATTTTTAATTTTACAAGACTATTCTCTTAAACATGGCGTTATAGTTTATATTCTCTCTGGTCTCCGCCTTTGTTGTTGTTGGTGTTGTTGTTGTTGTTGTTGTTGGAGCTTTAAGCATTACTTTAAGCAAGAGGCCAATTGTCCATGTCTTTACATTTACCACTCCCTTCTGTAGGAAACCATGGGCAAGTTTTAGTAATAAAATTTATAAACCATAAAAACTGTGATCTTCTAACAGAACTACCTTTTTTCTTAAGCATATATGAACAGGTACACATAATGATTCCTCTTTTTGGATCCTGTATATCCCATGTTTTACACCCAACTCTAAATTTTCTCCCTACACCTCCTTACTTTGAGGCTTTTTCTTAGCTGATAGGGAGCGCCTGAATGGGAGGGTTCTCCTCAACTGAGATAGTCTCCTGTGTTAGGATCTGTATGGACCATCATCTGCCACGAGCAGCTCTGCCAATCTAGCAGATTCCAGTGAAGAGGGATAAGAAAAATAAAGAATCACAAACTCAGATTTTGAAGGTAACAAAATCAGGTGGAGCACTGATCTCTGATGGAGAAGCAGCAATCCTTATTTACATGTCTTATTATCATATTAAAGACTGTGCAATCTATTATTTGTACTCAGGAAAGTTACAGAGTTAGCAACATTATGCATTTATTCAACAATTACATTCTGACTTGCAATACACAATGTTAGGAGCTTTGCTTAGCTCTCAAAAAAATTCCACTGTTATGCAGGCAGGTTCAGGAGCAAACATCCTAGTTGTCTAGCAAAAGAGTTCTGCTATTCTCAGGAGCTGTGTGCCTGAGATAAAGGTGAAGGCTGATAGGACTGTATCTTAGAGTTTCCTCATGAAGGCCATTAGCACAACAGCTAGGCATCCTGCACCTCTGCAAAGAAACTTTTCCAGGCACCAAGCAAGCAAGGCACAGCCATGAAGTCATCAGAGACCCCAGTCTCAGACACTGCTCTTCCATTCTCTGTCACTCTCCACAGGTACTAAAATAGCCTCCAAGCCTTTAAAAATTTACCCATATTCTAGAAATGTGTGATATTGTAATAAAATAAGAAATATATTTTTGGTTTCTGCCCCAAGGTTCTAAAAACCTTTATAATTTCCAGAATGATAGGATTTCCTGAGGCAGAGCTTCCAAGTTCCTGGAAATTTCCTGGGTAATCTTTTGTAAATCTGGGGGTATCCTGGAGAAGGGCTGGTCAACAGAAAAACAAAATGTGATTAGAACTTTTAATTTTCATTCCAACACCTCATCCCCTCCTCTGTGAAAGGGAGAGGGGCTAGAGAGGCTAGAGTCTGAGTCAAAAATCAATTTTGCCAATAATGATAAAGTTTTATGGTTTTAGATCTTATAATGAAGTCTTTAATTCATTTCATATTAATTTTGAGTGATTTAGGGTAGGAGTACACTTTTATTCTTCTACATGTTGATATCTAGTTCTCCCATTGTAATTTATTGAAGGTACTATCCTTTCTTCATTGTGTATTTTTAACACCATTAGCAAATATTAGTTGACCATGTATGCTTAGTTTTATTTCTAGATTCTCAATTCTTTTCCATTGTTCTATGTTTTGTTTTTTATGCTAGTTCCATACTGTTCTGATTATTACAATTTTGTATAATACTTTGAAATCAGGAATACAAGGCCTCCAACTTTGTTATTTCTCAACAAAGAAAAAAATGTTTTGACTATTCAAAGCACTTTGTGTTTACTTACAGCAAAGATTACAATCATTAACAAAATGAAAAGAACCTAGAGATTAGGTTAGAGAATAGGGGAGTATATTTGCAAACCAAATATATGATAAGTAAATTATTTCAGAAACTCAAACAAATCAAGAACAAAAAACAAAAAAACCAATAATCCAATTTTAAAATGAGATAAGAGCTTGAGAATATATTTTTATAAAGAAAACCTGCAAACGGCAATAAGTACTTTAAAAATGTTCAATATTGCTACTTACCTCAGAAATGAAAATCAAAACTAGGAAGAGATATCATCATTCATTTGTATTAGAATAACAAAAAATAACAAATACTGTCACCAATGTAAAGAAGAGGAAGCCCTGGTTCACTGTTGACAGGAATTTAAATTAGCACAGCTCTCATGGAAAACAGTACAGAGGCAGCTCAAATAATTAAGAATGGGACTATGTTCAGCAAAGCTACTTCTGGGTATATATCTAAAGGAATAAAATAACTAATTTGAAAAGGTATCTGAATTTTCATATTTATTAAAGCATTATTCACAATAACTAAGGTAAAGAAACAACCTAAATATTCATTAACAGATAAATGGATAGAGAAAATGATTATGGATATATACATACACGTATATACATATAAATATAATTATGTTATATACATATAAATAACATAATAATAAAAAATTATTAAATGTGCACTTAGACTTGCCTTAAATAAAACAGTGTTGAATGTCAAAATTATATGATGTAATATTGACCAAATCAACAGTATCAATATACGTAAGTGTATTACCAGTTTGTTTTAGTGGGAGTCCCTAAAAGTGACAATCAAAAGCCAAAACCTATCCGAACATCTTCTACAGAATCAAGTTAATGTTATACACACACACACACACACACACACACACAACACTATTTAATTACTATTTAATTTTTAAACTTGTATAGGATGCAAATGGATTCACTTTAGTAGCAATGATAACCCTGTTCATGGTTCTTTGTTCTAAAGGACATTACCAATTTTATATCTAGAAATTGTAATCTTGTTTAAAGAAAAACACTGCTTGAACACAATTCCTGAAAATGCTCATAGAGAATAGCTTTATCAGCTTATTGGTTTGCTCATTAATAAATGAGTTGGATAAAATCTTTGACACATGTTCAAAAATAATTAATAGCAATATGCATGATAATGAGTCAACCTCCTAAGCCAAAAGCAACAAATTTTCCCTAATGAATCATACCGAATTGTTCTTTAGAATGAATCTGAAGGTATTAAATAGCATACTAGAAAGAGGAAGGGAATGTTCTTATCCAAGAAATCAATAATCTAATTTAGATAATTGTAAAGAACAACTATTTGAAATGTTAAATGTTACAATTTTGTATTGAACTTTTGAAATTCTATTTTTTTAAATATATAATTTTAAGAAGTGTAATTATGTAATATATTTAATCATAGATTACATTAGATGAAAAAGAAAGTCCTAGTCAAGAAATACAGCATGAATGTAATAAATAAATCTGATATCTTTCCCAGAACACATAAGATTTCATTCCTTATACTTATATATCTCCAAATTCAGGAGCTATTTAAAATATCTTTTAAAAACATTAATAAAGAACTTCTATGATAATAAAGTCATTGTGTGTAAAAGCAAATTTGAACAGTGTCTAAATTGGTATAATTTCTGTGGTTGTTGAACTTTTTTAAAAGCAAATATTATAATATTATTCATTGATAGGGTAAGTAAGCTGAGACCATACTTATTATTTTGTTTTTCATCCCTGCCCCATGAAAGTTTAAATACATCAGGATTTAAAAAAAATGTTTTCTAGGTTGTATTTTGAGGTGAAAAGGGATATGCACTCAGAAGACTCCTAAATAATATAAATTCAAAGAAAATTCTGAAAAACTGAATTTTCTGAGCAAAATTATATATCTTTCAGAAACACCCGGAAAAATAAATGGGCCTTATCCAAAGTATAATGTTACTTGTATTATTAATGTTAAAAATAATACACACACACACACACACACACACACACACATACACAAGTGAGGTATTACCATTACATTTATTTTAAGATTAGACTATTAAATAGCTGTTGATTTCTTCTATCAACAGCAACATATTAACTGGAAATATATTAAAATAATGCATGTAATATTTTTCTGACCACAAAGCACATGTTATTTACATTCTTCATGGCACATGAAAACTCACAATAGTCTTTCCTTTTCTGCTACGTTTCCTCATTACCTACATAGAGCTGGGATGTAAGCCTGTCATTGTTCAAACTTAATATATTTTGGAATTAATATAAAATACCTAATAATCCTCTCTATGTGTTTCTGTTTAATATATACAGCTTGCTAATAGCTTGAGTATGTTTTAAACTTGGAACTTATAGTGAGTAACTTGATTAAAATGAGGCAGTTTTCTTAATAACTCTTCCTTAATTAACTGCTAAGGGAATACAAATATTATTTGTGAAGAACAAGTGCTCAGTGACTTTCTGCTACACCATAAAGTACTCAGAGATTGAATACAAGTGGCTTAAAATGCATAAAAAACAATTTAAGCAGTCCCAGATAAGTATCTAGCCATATTCTGTTTTATGATGTTCGTATATTTGCTTAGCAGAGAGCTGATTTTTGTCTTTGTCACTGGAATGACCAGGTGAACTGTAATTGGTGTTTTTTGTTCACAATAGTTGTTGTTTTTTTTAAAGACTAGAGAATAGTTCAGTCCCTACAAGTACTTCTTCATTATTAATCTCTCTAGATCTTGCCCAATGTTTTGAAACCAATATATTTTTCTTCTCTACTGAATTTTATTCTCAACTATAATGTTATCAATTAGTTCAATTCAGCCTAACATATTTCCAATGAGTTTGTCACCTATTATCCATTTCTTATAACATTCCAGATCAGTTTAAGAGATCTATTGTTGTTTTGGAAAGTCATAAAGCATACCAACAAAAAATAAATAAACTTTAAATACTTCAGAATGTATGAGTGTGTACATGTGTATGTTTGTGTATATGTATGTACAGCTCTTGTAGCATGTGGAATATTGTTTAAAAAAATTGAAAGGGAAAGAGTACTGCCATTTGACAAATATCAAGGGCCAAGTCCCATGTTGGAACATTATGTAATTGCTTTTATATTTGACCAGTGACTAGAGTCAGGAAAGATTGCATCTATTTTAGAGGCAACACATGTTTAGAATTTAAATTATTAGATTGAAGCCAGTTATATTATAAACAGTATAACCAGGATTCATGCTGTAGTCCAAATGTTCCCCCAATTCCTCTTTTTTTCTAACACAATCATTACATTTTGGTGTACAATTTTGCATATATATATAATATATATATAT